CAGTCTCACACTTTGCGGATCACCTACAATTTTAGACAAACACACATTTCTTATTGTATTGTATTTCTCCGGAATGTTCCTAGAGAATCCATGACTGTTTAGTTCCCACTCTAGCATTTCATGCGAGTTACTTTGGCATTCTTGATTGTATTATGTCTAGCGTATTGCTGGGGGAGTGTGGAGTAAAAACGGTCCAGTTTCCTCTTTTCATCTTTCAACGTATATTGAATTTTTACTTGCTACACTACTGTAGAAACATTGTATATTTCCCTACATATTTTGAGCCTTTTTAAATGTTTTCTCTATTTTCAGTCTATATGGCAATGTTTAATCTTTTTGCTCTTTTAATAATTCCTAGTTTGGCAAATCATCTTTGTTTTCTTTCCCTTACATATTCCAAGTGCTATTCCATAAAAGCATCAGGGATACATTTATTCTTGTCTATTTTATTTTGCTTTGGTTCATTGTTTTGTAATTGTTTCCCAAGACTTCTTGGGGTGGTACAAGCTATATGTGAGGTTTTACATTGATTGGTACTAATCTGACGCACAAACCCCCGACCTGGGTGAGAACAGAGGGGTTTTGTTCAGGGTGTCTCTTCCCTTAGGCCTGACTGCTTCCATCACAGCTCAAGAGTTTCAGCCTGCCCTTTTCCTCTCTTTTAGAGGAGTTTTAGTGCTGAAGTGCAGCCAGCCTCTTCTGTCCCCGCTCCCCTCCAGATTGGAGACCGTGGTGGACATTAGGGACACTTAGCCCCAGGGGAGAGAAAAAACAACTAAAAAAATACAAAACATTAAAATTTGTTCCCATTGTTAATTGAATTATTGTCAAGCAGTAGAGGAGGACTGATAATGCTTTTCTTCTCTTACCATCTCTTCTATATTCCAGTATTGAGAGATGGGAAAGATACATAAGTTCTTCATGTTATATAAGAACATGTTCAAAACGTATTATAATTTGAAAATTTGTGTTTTTTGATGGAATAGGCATTGCTCCATTGAAATTGGATTGGCGTATGAAAAATTTTTGTTGTTGAATTTATAAATTTTTATAAATGAAATTACCAGACATACTTAGTTTATATAAATAACAACTAGTCTGAGAACATTAAATGCCGGAATTCAAATTTCATCACTTTATGTTTCAGGATCCATATGCCCAACAACCTCCAACGCCCTCGTGCCCCGTTCCTGAAGGAGAGATATTTCCTTCACAGCACCAACCTGCACCTCCTCCCATTGCAACAGCAACAACCACAGCAATCTCAACACGTCAGCAGCAGCAACCACAGCAATCCATCCTCTCAAACTGCCTCAGCAACCTCAGGACTCAGAAACAACTTAGCGGATCTTCTTCAAGGACAACAACTGCCGGGAAAATGAACAGAGAGGATATGGGGAGCTGCGATATTTGGGTATGATATCATGTTATTGGTCTACTTTCTAATATACTGTACTGAGAGAAAGACAGAAAACCTTATTTTGTCAGTCCATGATCCCAAAAAAGTGAATTTAATTACCTGCTCGTATAAGCTTAGTAAATGACTGCTCAAAGTAATGTAGTACAAACCTACTATTTTGTGAATATTGGATTCCAATAAGAATTTTTTTTCCTCAAATTATATTTACAGAGTCTCTCAGAAATATATTCCATGATCAATTTTGGTCAGACAAGCCCTGCAAATTAGAAATGGAACCTCTGTCTTTCTTCTTCTTCTTCTTCTTTTTTCTTCTTCTTCTTCTTCTCTTTTTTCTTCTTCTTCTTCTGTCTTTCTTCTTTTTTCTTCTTCATTCTTCTTCTTTTTCTTCTTCTTTCTTCTTCTTTTTTCTTCTATCTTCTTCTTCTTTTTTTTTTTTTTTTTCTCTTCTTCTCTTTCTATTTTTCTTCTTCTTCCTTTTTTCTGCTTCTTTTCTTCTCTTCTTTTTTCTTCTTACTTCTTCTTCTTTCCTTCTTCTTGTCCTTCGTCTTCTTTTCTTCTTCTTCTTCCCCCTTTTTTTTCTTCTTCTATCTTCTTCTTCCTTTTTTCTTCTTCTTCTTCTCTTCTTCTTCATTTTTTCTTCTCTTCTTCTTCTTCTTTTTGTTTCTTCTTCTTCTTCTCTTCTCTTTTTCTTCTTCTGCGTCTTCTTCTTCTTTTTTTCTTCTTCTTCTTCTTTTTTCTTCTTTCTTTTCTTTCTTTTTTTTCTTCTTCTTCTTTCTTCCTTCTGCTTTTTTCTTCTTCTTCTTCTTCTCTCCTCTTCCCTCCTCTTTTCTTCTTCTTTTTTCTTCTTTTCTTCTTTCTTCTCTTTTTTTCTTTCTTCTTCTTTTTCTTCCTTCGTCTTCTTTTTTCTTCTTCTTCTTCTTCTTCTTTTTTCTCTTCTTCTGCTTCTTCTTTCTTTTTTTCTTCTTCTTCTTCTTCTTCTTTTTCTTCTTCTTCTTCTTTCTTCTTCTTCTCTTTCTTCTTCTTCTTCTTCTTCTTTTTTCTTCTTCTTTTGTTCTTCTTCTTCTTCTTCTTTTCTCTTTTTTCTCTTCTTCTTCTTCTTCTTTTTTCTTCTTCTATCTTCTCTGCTTTTTTCCTCTTCTTCTTCTTCTTCTTTTTTCTTCTTCTCTTCTTCTTCTTCTTTTTTCTTTCCTTTATCTTCTCTTCTTTTTTCTTCCTTCCTTTCTTCTTCCCTTTTTTTCTTCTTTTCTTCTTTTTTCTTTTCTTTCTTTCTTCTTCTTCCTTCTTCTTTTTTTTCTTCTTCTTTTTTCTTCTTCTTTCTTCTTCCTTCTTTCTTCTTTTTCTTCTTTTTTTTCTTCTTCTTCTTCTTTTTTTTCTTCTTTTTTTCTTCTTCTTCGTCCTTTTTTCTTCTTCTCTTCTCTTTTTCTTCTTCTGGCTTCTTTTTCTTCTTTCTTCTTCTTTTTTTCTTCTTCTTTCTTCTCTTTTTTTCTTCTTCTTCTTCTTTTTTCTTTCATTTTTCTTCTTCTTTTTTCTTCTTCTTCTTCTTCTTCTTTTTCTTCTTCTTCTTCTTCTTCTTCTTTTTTCTTCTTTCTTCTTTTTTCTGTTTCTTCTTCTTTTTTCTTCTCTTCTTCTTTTTTTCTTCTTCTTTCTTTCTTTTTTTCTTCTTCTTCTTTTTTCTTCTTTTCCTTTTTTTTGTAAATAGTATGTACATAATGTAGAGGAAAGTTACAGTAAACGCCTCTTTTACACTTGTGTAGCGGTCCCAGGGGAAATGATGTAGGGGTTGTGGGTGTCTGTTTTATTGCGGAAGTGTAAAATTAGAGTATTTTTCTTTGAAACTTGGTATAGCTATTAAGTAAAGTAGCTCCAGCAAATTGGTGGAAAATGCACCACCTTCGCCCGTGTGCGCCAATGCATATGCTTGTTCCACAGTGATTGTGGCAAATTAGTGTTGTTAAATGCTGGGGAAAATTTGAAATCGTTACTATTATAAATGTGGGTATTTATAACACGAAAACTGATTCTTGTACCGACAAGGAATTGTAAATTGCGGGAACGTAAAAGCCGGAGTTCTTACTGTAATATAACGTTTGCGCCGAAAAAAACGTCCACCGTATCCTCGGCCAGTAAAAATACATACTGCATCTACAATTTGGTCAATGGCTTTGTGTGGTCCTGATAACCCAAAAATAGGTTAATAAAACAAAACGTCCATGTACCACACCCACCCACCCACCCACGCATCAGTCCATCTATCCATCCATCCATCCATCCATCCTCCCTCTCCCACCTCCATCCGGACGTCCGTCCGTCCATCCGCCCGCCTACCTGTCCGTTTGCCCATTTATGTATCCACCTGTGTAAAACACTAGTGGCCAAACTGTGGGTAGGATTTTCACCAAAACTGATATTTTTCGATTGATCTGGCTGGTGTCATGGCCCCTTGAATTTGAAATGGGTATTTTAATATTTTGTGAGTTCTTTATATTAAGCCTCAAGGACATTTTCAAATTTTTGGTTTACATTTTTTTTAATATCAAATAGAGCAAATTATGCTTATAAAAATGACATAGGTCCAATTCATGTTAAATTATCTGAAGTTTTGAAAATTAAGTTAAAATTGAGTTAAAAATTTGTTAAGTGTCTTCCTACAACTACAATAATGAAAATAGTTTTTTTTTATTTTGGATAAAATATTTTCTTGAAAATTAATCTTTAAATGAGGTTCTGTACAATTTTTCAAGAATGTGAGTTTTTGTGTGATTTTGCTAGTAAAATTGAGGTAATTTTAACATAAGATTTTCTGAAACACAGTTCCCGTTTTTTCATAAAATTTTTATCAGATATATTGCTATACCTCAAAAACTGAAAATAATTAAGACTTACTTGCAGGAAAGGATTCTAGTATATTACTAAATACTTGCAGCATTAGTCCTTAAATATATAAAGTTTTGCTTCAATTGTTATGCAATTTATTATGGGGTCTTGTATTGACCTCCCCTCATTGAAGTTCTCCAGGTACTGGCATAGGCTTGTTACTGTTAACGAAATCTTTACTTGAAAACTACAGCTTGAAATAATGAAGATAAAAGTCACTTTCATGTAATTTTTAATTGACTTTTTGCTCTTTTTTAAAAATGTGTGTGCAAGATTGTCTCAAAAATGGCTTTTGCCAAAAGTGAGGAAAATTTGCTTAATAAAATTGCATAAGACCTATTACCTTTATTACCTCATTATTATCTTAAATTTTTAAACTTACAAATATTAAATTGTTTTAAAATCTATCCTGTATTTTTAAAATTGAAGTTAGAGATGTGTTTCTTAATGCAATCTAATAGTCAGTACTAGATCTTTAAATAATTTCATGTAACATTCACAATTCATTTCACTTTTTTAAGAAAATAGTTGTTTGGAGAAATTTTGAAGTAAAGAATGAGAATGTACTACAATGCCTTTTATATTAAATTATAACCTGTTTCATTTGGCTGCTGTAGTGTAGTGGACAACAGTCCAATCTGTAGTTGTTATTATTATTTTCATTATCAGTATTTTTTCTGTAACGGATTACACTTAATGTTTTTAGACAATCAATCTGGAAATCAAGATGGTCCTGTTCCTCCACAAAATTCTCCACAGCCTCCTCAACAGTCAGCAAATCAGCAAATTTCAAGTCCTTTGACTGCATCTGTCCTGCAGCAACAAAAGATTTCTCAACCAGGAATGCCTCCTTTTGATCCTAGTACAGCAGTGAATGCAAGTCAGCAAATTGCTGTATCTCAAGATGGCACATTTCGACAACCATTACCTCCAGCAATTGCACGGCCTCGTTTGCCTGTGCCCTGCAATGTTGTTGTTCGTGGCCCTGGTGTGAGACATTCTCTCCCTGTGTTAGACCCTCGTTTACAGGTAAATGATGGAATTATTTTAAATTATTACTGACTATGAAAGTACTTAATACTTTCTGTGGAAAAGAGATGAAGTTAAACTGTGCAATTCAGTTGCAACTTTGGTAACACCTATTACTGAGTGACTACCATGCAAATTTCTATTTTCTTCTTACTAAAATAGGATACTAGTGGGATGAGATTGTTTTTCGTTGACATTGCCTGTCTTTTAGTTCAATAAAAGTGGAAAGAATTCATTGACATTGCCTGTTTTTTAGTTTAATAGAAGTGGAAAGAATTGTAGAAGGGTAATAGAAATAGTTTTTGTTTTATTTTGGAGTTAATTGCAAATACAACGCTTTGCAGGGTATGGATCCTCGAATGAGACAAATTTTGCAGCAGCGAGCCTTGGCAAATGCACAGTCTTTCCCTCCATCACAAATGGTGCACAGAGTACCTGGACCACGCAACCCATTGGATCCATATGATCATTTGGTTCAACGCCCCCAACAACTTCCATTTCCCCAAGGTGCAGCAAAAAAACTCATTGAATTAACAAACAGATTAATGAATTACTCATTAATTGTTGTGCAAAACAAAGAATCAATTTTGTACCTTATTTTTCAGTAAGCCAACAACAAGCTACTCCAACTGCTATGCCTACATCTGCAGCACCTGCTCCTGCTGTATCTACTTCTGTGGCAACTTCCACTGCGTTTCATCAGTCCTCCCAGCAAATTTCCACTGCATCAGAAACCCAAGAAATCCCTGAAAGTGTAACTGCTGAACTTGAGAAATTAGAGCAAGAAGGTGGAGGGATAGTGGAAGTGGAAGGAGTGGGAGCAATTCTTGCAGATCTAGGAGATGATGATGAATTGCTAGGTAAAAACTTTTTAATTAATTTTAAAATTCTACAAGATTGTTGTGATTCTTGTAAGATATTCCAGGTGACATTTCAGAAAGGTCTGAAGAAAACAACAATGATGACAGTTCTATTGATAAATAAGTGCCAACTGATAGTGAGGTTGACATAGGGTTACTATGAAGAGAAATTATTTTAATTAGTACATATTAGAACTTTTCAGCTGGTTGTTTAGATTAGAACTTTTATGATCATATTCGATATCGTGTGTGTTATTTTGCATTGCATGTTTTACTCCTGAAATATTAAATAGGCTCAGCTACAAGGTCTCCGTCCGTGTAGTACGTGACCTTGTAGCTGGTTGCGGAGCTTGAGTACCCCCGTGACCCTGAGAACTATGCCGGCGGTAGCGGTAAGGCCTTCCTTGCCGGACAGGTCAAAGGGGAGGGGTCACACTAAGAAGTACTCCAGAAGAGGACCTCAATGGCGGCTTCGTTGAAAATGAGAAGACGAAACTAGCGCAAAAAGGCTCCTCAAAGGGTAAGGGAGGCTCTCCAGGTGAAACCGACTTCCCTAAGAGAGAAAACCCTGATATCAAATCCTGCTGGCTCAGAGCTGTGAAGCGGCAGCCCCACTACTGCGATTACCCTGGATGGCGCCTGTAACGCGGGCAGGGGACATTTCAATTACTAAAAATCTTCACATAGATAAGCTGGATAAATCCCATTTATGACAACATAAGCAAGAAAAGGACAAGCGATTCGGAATAAAGGATAGATTAAAAGTTGCCACATGGAATGTAAGAGGTTTAGGTACCAAAGAAAAAGAACTCAATGATGAATTAAAGGAATGTAGCATTAATATAGCCGCATTAACAGAAACGAAGAAAAAGCTTAAGGGAACTAAAGATCTTGACGATTACAAAATGATCTATTCTGGAGTAGACCAAAGTCAGAAGTAGCTGTGAAAATTATAGAGATATTAGCCTCTTAAACACAATGTATAAAATCTACAGTAAAATGACCCAAAAGAGGATTAAGATGATAGCTGAAGTTATATTGTTAGAAGAACAAAATGGCTCAGGAAGGGAAGATCCTGCACAGATAATGTTTTAATATTGAACCAAATAATAGAGAAATGAAGAGTTTAATTTAGACTCGCACATCGCATTCATTGATTTTGAAAAAGCCTTAAAAAGCCTTCAACCGTGTAAACAGGAGAAGATTATGGGCCATAATGGATCAAAAAGGCTTTCCAAAATATTTAATAAACATAGCTAAAAGTTTATATAAAAATACAAAAATTTAAATAAAAATTAATTCACAACAATCACAACCATTAAAACTAACTAACCAAGGATTAAAACAAGCAGTCTTTCCCCAATATTTTTAACATCTATATAGACGATATTCGTAGTGAATGGAAATTAATAGTAAAACAAGGGATCAGATTGAACGGAAATAATTATATTAATACTCTTCTATTTGCTGATGACTAAGTTAATATGTATGAAAAGGAAAAATATCTCAAAATGGCACTTTATCTATTAAATCTAATGTTTATAAATTATAACATGAAAATATCAAAACAAAAAACAAAGGTCATGGCTTTTAAAGGAGTCCATCCAATTAGAACAAAGATATGCCTGGAAAAACAAATAGTAGAACAAATATCACATTTCAATTATCTGGGATGTGATATAAGTTATGACCAGAACCAAGATATAAAAAATAAATTGCACAAGTTCCAATATAAACGTTCTATGTAGTGGCACGCTACATAGAACATTAAGAAATAAGACTAGAAAAGGCACTACAGTAAAACCCCCTTTTTTTACACTTTTCAGGGGACCGATGGAAAAAAGTGTAAAATGCAGGAAAGTTAAAAAACTACAGGCCAAGCGAGTACTTACATTATTTATTACAAGGACTTGTTTACATAATTAAATTACTCGTATTATACCTTTGATAATTTACAAATTACTCTTAAACTATTTAAAAAAAACTAAAATTGTCATTTGTTTTTGTATTTTCTGTAAATGAATTTCTGCTACCTGCATCTCCACTATATACAATGCTTTGAATGCATCCTCACCACCTGATCCGCTCTCAATGAATTGCCTCAAAGTAGTGAGTGCATCCATTGCTTTGTCAATTGTCAGGACAACAGGTTCTAGATCTGTGTCTTCGCTAACTTCTTGTTCCTGGTGGTTGGAAATTATCTCCTCCACTGTAGGTAATACTGAAGTCGTAATTTCAGCATCAACATTTACATAATCTTCAAATGAAGATCCTGTCATCACTGACCAGTGATTAGGCTCCACCAAATGTCCCTGTGCAAAATTCTGTCTTCTACAAACTTGACACCAGCCTTATGGAAGCAGTTGGAAATTCTTTCAGGAGTCACACTTAACCATGTTTGACCACATAATGCATGGCATCAAGAATTGATATTTTCATTAACTTTGAATCCATACCATTATCATATCAAAGCTTTTTCAACCAGCATTTTTCTGTACTTCCATTTTAAAGAATGAATTATGCCCAAATCCAGTGGTTGAAGAAAGCTAGTACAATTCGGGGGAAAGAATACTAATTTTATATTTCTGAGCTGCAGATCTGTAGGGTGGGCAGGACATCTATCAAGCAGTAATAACACATTCCAATTTCTTGCTCCCATTTTTCGCATCCAGAGCGTGCATGGTGGAGGAGAAGACACTGCTGGTCATTCATGCATCACTGTTTGCCTCATATTTGGTTGGTAAATTTTTGATGTGTTTATGACATGGTGGTAATTTTTCAGAGCCATCTGCATTCACCATTAACAAAACAGTTTCTCTCTGTTTGTTGAGCTTCCCACCATGACACTTTTCACCTTTGAAACACTATGTCTTACTTTGCAGAATGTTATAAAAAAGTCCTGTTTCATCAACATTGAAAATGTTTTTTATTTTTAGTATTCCTGGATAATTGAGGCAAGTTCATGTTTCCATTCGGTAATGGTATCCCCAACAACGCTTCGACTTTCCCCGCACACTTGGTTATAAACAATATTATGGCAGGTCTTGAAGCGATCAATCCATCCATTTGCTGCAAACTGGAGGGCTTTCGCTCGCAAAAGGTTGCCATCAAACGGTATACCCAATGCCCTCGTGGCAGTAAACCACTCCTCCACAAGTTTGTCCAACTCATTGTAAGATGATGATCTTACATATTTTCTTTTTGTTGACAAAGCACCAAACTGTTTTGCATTTAATTCAATTGTGTTGATATGATATGATGATGATGATGATGATGATGATGATGATGATGATGATGATGATAAAGTCTTAAAATAGATATTAAAATTTCATTATTAAACTTCATGTAAATAATATCTTGACTTCATTAATTTTGGTGTCATATCATCATCATCATCATCAGAAGTCCAATATCTTGGCAGCAGTGAGTTTTATAATATTGATATTTTCATCTTCTTCATTGAATATAACTCGTCAACAGTTATAAAAAGAAAAAGGTTTTGAAATTAAATAAAAAGTAAATTGACCTTTCATGTTCTTGTGTGCGATTTTCATTTGATCCTTACCTCAATCAATAAGCATTTACCTTGCAGAAATGGGCAATGACTTCAATATCCTAGCGTACGCAGATCCAGAGTTGGATGCTGTAACTGGAGGAGAAAAGACCAATATTCTTGATGAGAACTTAGATTTAGAAGAAGAGGATAATAAAGAGGATCATAAAGGGTTAAAGAAAGATGTTGCAGAAAATAAATCCAGGTACAAATACAAATACCAATAAAAATGTCATTAGAAATCTTTATATTTCACCAGAATGTGTTTGTTTTTTGTGTGTGTATGTAAAATGATTAAATTTTTTGTGTAGTTCTCAACCTAAACCGCCAGATAACAGCACAAGTGGAGCACAACAAATTAAAGTTGAACTACCAACATCATCTGTAGTGACTACACCCCAGAATGTCACTTCATCTGGAGGTACTCAGTCAGTTCAGCCTGGGCCAGTATCAATGGATCCTGCTTTGCAGGGTCAGACTCGTATTCAGAAATTGCATCATATGCCTCCATCTTCTCATTTGCCTCAGCGACAGTTGCATATCCCACCACAATTACAGCACCCTTTGCCGCAACAGCAACAACAACAGCAGCAGCAGCAACAACAACAACAACAACAACAACAACAACAACAACAACAAGTTTTGCAAACACCTTCAACATCTCTGCCACAGCAGGTTATTTGACTTTACTTACTGATATACTTTACTTTACTTACACTTGATTTTTTAATCTTGGGTGAATAATTTAAAAATAAATATATATTTTCAAGGTTTATTAATTCATTGCTGTATGTTTACAGATCTGAAACAAAGCACATAACTGTATTGTTAATACTGTTGTGGGCCTTTCTAAGTCTTTATGCCTGAAGGCTTTTTGAATACTTTATCGCAAACTCTAATACCAACACAACACATACCACATTTTTATGAATTCGATTTATTAAGGTTAAGATACAATACGTAAATGGCATAATGCTCAAATAAGTAAAATAATTCATTATATAACCATAAATGGTTTAATTGATATGAAAATTACAATTTTGTAATGTTCCCGTGAATTTATAATTGCCATCAGTCACTCATATCTTACTATTACATATCACCATTTTTTAAAGATATGTGTTTCTTGAGTATCTTATTACTACTTCTTGAGTAACTTACTACTACTAGTAATAATAATGTGTATAAGGCACATCAGCTAACATCCTTAAAATGGTAATTTTTGAAGTTATGAAATATTTTAAATAACGTTTGGTGATAGAGGCAAAAAACCCTAACATACGATTTCATCAGCAAAATTCATTTGGTTGTTTTTCATATAACTCTCAATTACACTAATCATTTTCATATATTTCTAGAGGTTTTACTGGAAACCACTGTCCATAGCTTTGTTAGCTTCTGTGAGAATTTCCAAAGGAACTTCACAATATTATTTCATTTTGTATGAGCCAATCAGTCCAACGAGTATGCAGGAGGAATTAGATGCACGTTCTGTTATGTTTATCTGACATCATATTGACAAATGACATTTACAATGAGTCTTTTTATTTAAGATGCAAGAAAAGCAAAAAAATATTTAGTATTCTTATTTAATTCAGCAATGAACTAGTAAATCAAAACGTTTTGTGCACCACAAACATTACTAGATATTTTGCCCCTCAGGCAATTTCCAACCCCTCGGGTTTGGAAGTAAGCCCTCTGGGCAAAAACATCTACTTAATACCCTATTCACTCAATATTGCTAATATAGACTGTTAATTTCATTGGTGAAGTCTTCTTTTAATGATAGCAAAATAGAAGGCTTTAAAACCAACATTTCATTTGTATTTCAGCCTACTGTTGTACGCACCGGTTTGGTCACAGGAAGAATTATGTCTTCAGAATCAGGATCTACTACTTTTGCTGGGTCCTTTCCAGCCAGTGCCACTGGACAGGCTGGTGTGAAACCGGGTAATATTTCTGGTCAACTTGTCCAGCGTGCATGTAAGTTGTTTATTAAATTGATTTCATAACTAAATATTTGAAAAATCATTTTGATTCAAAATTTACTTCACTTTACTGTGTTTTATAGACAGTAATATCCAACTATTAAATGCAAATGTATTATTCAAAGCTAACTGAAGTGATCTGCTGCAACAAATGTCTGAAAAGAAAAGTTATGTATGTGTGTGTGTGTGTGTGTGTGTGTGTGTGTACACACATGCACACAAATACAGTATACATAACAATGTACCAGACTTCTTTGTGCTTGATGTTTGAGACATGTTTTTTTGACATGATGATGCCGACAGTGATTTCCTAGTGAAATGCAATAGCAGCTGCTTTTCTAGTGACATGGTATTCCCTTGTTGCCTCAAACTTTCAATGAATGAAAGGGATAGAGCATTGTACCATGCACATAAGAGGCACAACATTAAAAGTATCGAGATGGTTGAGGTATCTGACTGAAAAACATTAAAATTATAGGGCTAATTTAGAAGAAGAATCTCTACTAATAGGAGAAACCTACCTGGAATTTAGCATGCACATAACAAGGCAGTAAAGTGCACCAGTGCTCCCTCTGCCAATGCCAAACCGTGAAGCACAAAGATGAATGGTACAACTTTTAAGTACATTTTTAATTTACATTTCTCAGATTTACAACATCTGCATCAAAATTTTTAAATACATCTATCATTTATGTAATTTCTGAGGCAATAATTTCAAAACAATTTGTGTATTTTATAAGTAACAAAGAACATTCCATATTTTAATTATTGATCTACTTACTAATGCATTAATGTTTTGTATACAATCTATGTCCCAAGAGGTATATTTCATGAAGAATTGTATTGTGACAGTGGTCCAACAACAAGTGCAACAACAGGACCAGCAGCGGGGACAAATTCGACTAGGGTCTGGAGTTTTGCCCCCTGGCATCCGTGATGCTGCTGGCCGGGTGGTTGCAGGACCGTTGGTTCAGCATCCGGCTGGGCGAATAGGCTTGGGCCCTCCACCACCACCACCACCACCTCCGCCTTATCCTGGGCCTCCACCTCCTTACCCTGGACCAGCTGCTGGGCCTTGTCAGCAGGTGAGAATATGTTGTAGACAAACAATTCCAGTCATTTTTCATTGGACTTAACAGCTTGATTATTTACGTAAAACATAGTAGTTAGCAAAATTGGTGCCAGACGGAGCACTTCTTAAGTTAAAAACTTATACTTTTATGAAAACACCTTTTTTTTCATGTTAAAATATGCTTTGAAAAGCTATTGGAGCTTCTAAAATAATATATTAAGCTCCATCTGACAACCTTCATTTCCAGAATCTTTTATATTTAATTTATAATTTTTAGAAAGGTGTTGGTTTGTGCATGAATTTTCTTCGTGAAGGTGTATTTTTTTAACATGGTGCTCGAAGTGCGGGGCTGAGGAGTTTGCAGTGGTGACTGGTTTTGACTTGTTTTTAAAGATAATATCTTTTATGCATGGGATTTGTTGGTGTGACCAATTTGATTTGTTGTTAGCACAGTGGCAGTGTTTTTAAAATATTAATGTGTATTTGAATTACATTCAGTCTCGTAAATTCTTTTTCAAAATTTGTGTCATTGATAGTAAGGTGTGTTTTGATGGTATGTTTGATGTAGTAGTGCATTTTTGTTTGCCTCAAAACTGACACTGTGTGTTCTAAAATCCAGAACCAGAAGGCTATTTCAATTTATTGCATAGAATTATTATTATTAGAGGTCATTATGCAGGAAAAGTTCTGAAAGTATTTGGAATGATGTGTCTTTTCTACTACTGAATTCAAGAGCCCTATTTATCTATCAATGAAACCTATTCAGAGGAATATTATGTAATAATGTTAAGAAGAATAATTTATGGGGCAAACAATTCAGTTGAGTTAAAAATAATGTATGTAGATTTTCTCTTGAACATCTGTTCAAAACTAAGAACAAAACAAAAAATTCAACAATAATAAAAAAAGTGACCAGATAAAGAAAACTACATACCAAGCATTACTTACAGAAGTCTGATTTCATTTTATTTTGGGAACGGGAAAGATTAAGTAATATTTTCTTAGTGTATACATTTCATTAACAAAAATGTATGATATTTCAGAAGTTCTTTATCTACTTACTTTTTAGAATCATTTATTTATATTAGAACATCAAAAGTCTAAGAACCATGATTTGAATTTTAAAAATCAGGATATGTATAAGAGAAATTGTTTGATTTTCTTATTAAATAGTGTTTCTCTAAACCTAATGTTAATTGTCATTCACTTTTGATATGGGTTTGCACAGTAAAACATTCATCCAAGATTGTGTATGAGTACTTAAGTAGTTTATTACTATTGTGATAATGTGTTGTTTTTGTTGGGTTGAGAAAGATGAAATAATATACCGTAACCTTTTTATTTAAGTTAGATTTTATAGAAGTTAGATTTTTCTGATAAGTGGAGGCCATTACTAGTGTATTCTCTAACAGAGCAGTTCAACCTTGATGCATTTTTCTGTTGAAAACAATGCTTTTCTTTTCGACATTAATTTTCCTTGATCTATTTAATGTCTGCAAAATTTTATGCCTAATATTACATTGGTCAGCATATTTTAATTATTGCCAGATCACGTTCAAACCACTCTTTGAACTGTTGATATATGAAGATTATTGTGCATTGCATCCATGATGAAGCATAAACATGGGGCAAAATACAGGATTTAAAGTATGTTCTTTCACTCCTGATGTAGGGAGAGCACTTTCTTCTCTCTTGTTCTCATTTGGTGGGAGACCCCATACTCCTTTCCAAGACTTCAAACATGATCACAATAGGACATCCACCAAAACAAATTTATTTGCAGAAAGTTCACAAAAGAAATTAAGTAGAGTCCGCAAATGAAAAGAAATTTGAGGCACTAACAATGAGCTGAAATCCTTATAATTAATAACTATAATTCTTTTTCAGTATTGTATAATATATTGATAAATAAATTTTCAATATCAGTGTTGTAATTCATTGAAAGACAAGTACCAGCCTCATAAACGTGAGTTACTCAGGTATTACTTCTTTGCAAGTGAAAAAAGTGACTGAACCAAGCTATTTGCTTGGTGATCCTGTAAGGTCCAATACTAATGAAGCCAGACTACCTTCACTATAGTTAATATATAGTGAAACTCCATTTAAACATTTCTCACTTATATGTTTTTCACATTCATATGTTTTGTTTGGTATGTCCTGGATAAATTCCTATAATTCCCATGCTAAATTATTTCAGTTATGCGTTTTATGTGTATACATATTTCACACTTATATGTTACTAATAAAAGTCCAATTAAGACCATAAAACGTTCAAATATTACCATTGAGGTGCAGGGCGAACTACGCCGAAAGCCTGAAACTTGTATTTTACTCGAGTCGGCAGACTCCCGAGCGCTCCCGAGACTCCAGAGCGCTCCCGTGTGTCAACCTGTCGCCCAACTTCTGAGCCAATTTCCCACTAATGAAATTCATAATTTAAAAGGTGAACTCTGCCTAGCTGAGGGGCCAAGTCCATGCAAGCCCTGAAGTAGTACCGCAAAGGCAGCTCCTGGGCCACCTCCAGCAATTTCTTAAAGTTGTCTAAAAATGTGGAAAAACATAAAAAATATGTCTTTGAAAAGATGATACTATATCTTCCCCTCAGGCTGTTCTGATGAAAGATATTTCCAGAATTTGATTTCTAATCAATGCTCCCTGAAAAGGTTCTCCTATCCTATGTGAGTGCACAAATACCATGCTCTATAACCGATAGATATTCCACAAATATGTTGTTTTGTACTGTAGCTACCATAATATGGCACCGTTGCATCATCAATAGTTAGATATTCATCCTGAGAGAATGAATTCATCAGAAGTGGGTTTAGTGCATTTTGGATTTTCTGTACTAATGCAAACATTTTCAAAACATTTAATATGTTCTACACATAGGTCTAGATAGCCCACTCTTTTTTTTGTAATTCCTTTAAAATTTATTATTTTACAGTACAAGTAGCAGTTTACAATACAAGTAGCATCTTAGCTGATTCCCAGAAAGATGATTCATGTCACCAGTAATAAAGTCTTCCTTAGTCATCATCTCCTTCACTCTGACTAGCATTTTCAGGAGGTTCGTTGCATATATCAGATTCTAACAACTGCTAATCTACTGCCAACAAATTAGCAATTTCATCAACTGTCAACATTCATGCAATAGATCAGAATGTAAACCTCCCTCACTCGTGCCCATTGCACCATTTCTAGGGCTTTGAAGTTAAACACTAAAGTTACAAAATATAGATAATGGTTTTGAGGTTAGGTCACCATGATCTTAAAACACATGTTTAAGAATAATAGTGATTTACATAATAATCAATAAAATGTACATTAAAATACATAATGACAAAATATTGAAGTAGTCAACAATGCTAATACGTGAAAAGTGTTATGTGTGTAATAATATAATTATTAGTGTTTATAATACAATAAAATACTTTGTTTGACTTCTCTCATTCACTGCTGCATGAATTTTCAAAATTTCTCTTTAAAAAGTGATGCATTGAGGTTGTTCTGTTATAATCTAATAAAAAATATTACAAATTAATATTGTGCATATTTTTCGACTTGAATCATAATTCATAACTGTGTGTTTATAAGTCCAAATACACAAGCTTTCTGGTTCTGATGTTTACCATTTTGGCTAACACGTTTGTGGTGGCTCCCTGCTTTCGAGCACCAACACTTGGCATATAACGGAGCATCTTGTTTGCATCTGTGTGGCCCGCTCTGCTCAGATGCCTCCAGCAGGACTGCGTGGCATTGGTGTGGGTTTGCCCCTGGGCCCCCCAAGGCCACCTCCAATGGCCATGATGCCACAGATGGTTGGGGGCATATTGCCCCCTCCGGGGGCGGGCCCCATGCCCCCACACATTCAGCGCAGATCTTTGCTGCTGCAGGTGAGAAAACGAATAAAGATGGATCAATTCCCTGATTGTTTGTATTCTGCACTGGTCCATCTCAGACCTTCCCATTCCTTTTCCCTGCAATCGAGCATTTACTCCGCAACTTTCACTCAAGAAGCCCAAGTTTTAACAATACCTGTGTGAGGTATTTTTTTCAGGATTCAGATTTGTAATTTCATTGTTACATGTTTGCATTGTCACAATGTTGTGTTGTGATAATTCCTTATAAGAAACCTAGTTTTATCCTTCCAGAGTTTAATATATAATGTTTATAATATATTGCCACTTGACAATTCACTTTCGTATGGTATACCAAGAAAAGTGTTACAGCAATAAGGTATACTATAAAAATATGTATCAAATTATTTGTTCATTTGTAAATTTTTACTTGTTTGTGTAATGTAGAAAGTTTGTTGGTATTGGTGATGGCTGGGTGTAGATAGCATTGGTGTGTTGCATGTTTGTACAAACATTGGAATGTATTGCTTCACTACTTAATCGCCATCTTGCTATAACATTATTTGGCAGTGTAATATTGACTTCTTTAATGGATGTTCTTCTTCTCTTGTTAACATTCTGTTGTATTAAGTGGATAGTTTTCTGTTCAGCTTCAGGATATTATGTTTTAAATGGAGAAGAGTTTTGTACTGTGGGACAAAATGCCTTTTTTGATGAACAGTTTTTTACATTTGTGTCGTAGCTTTTTATATGACATTTGAAGGGTGTACTGTAATTATTATTAAATTTTTTAAAAAAAATTTAAGATCTATGTCTAATTTGTTAAACTTATAAACACAGTGAAGGTGATGATTTTGAGAGATACTTTTTTTACAAAGGAAGATAATTGCATTTTAACTAATATGTTATATTAAAATAGCATGTGAAACTTTATATTAATACGACACAGTCTCGTTCACAGGAGCAGCCTCTGTTATTGGAAGACCTGCTTGAACAGGAAAAAAGGGAACAAGAAAAGCAACAACAACAACAAATTTTGCCTCAACAGCCACCTCCACCGCCTCCACCTCCACCACCTCCACCACCTGCTGTTGTGCAGCCTCCACCAGGCTCAGCACCCCAAGCTCCTCCATTACCAGATACATCATCAACTCTGTTCAGTGATGTAGACTTTGAAAGGTTGAGGGCTGATGTATTGGGATCCACATCTGCTGGGAGTACACCCAATTTGGGACCATCTCAAATGTCATCACCCCCTCAGGGAGTTCCAGGTATCTAGAAGAGATATATTAACGTTTCTTTCAGATTAATGTAAACAGTCTCAAGACTGAAATTTATTGGGTGATATAGTAAAATACCTTTCAAATATTTACCTCGAAAAATCATCATGATTCATTTTGAAGAAAATGGAATATTTGTGGTGCGTGTTTCAGTTCTGCATATTACTTTAGTGTTTAGAGTAGACGTACAAACATACATAAATAAGTATTGCATATTTACTTCATGTTTTGATAGGTATCTGATTATCGCATTTTAATTTTATAACAAATTTTTTTAGGCCATTAAATAACTGTTTTGTGACTATAGATATTATTAAGTAGAAATATTAAACCACTTTAATCCTTATATGAAATTTCATGTTCATACATTTATATTTTAATAAAAAATATGTTTGATTTGCATTGCTAGAGTTTAATGATTTGAAAATAAAATTCGTGTGTAAATTTTTACAGCACAAGCAGCGTTACCAACTGGGAATATTGTAGCAGGAAGTGCTCCTTTGCGAGCACCATATCCCCCTCGCCCAGTGTCACAGCCGCCTGCTTCGTGGCAAGCTGGTGGGACCTCGCCTTCTGTGGACTCCAAAGGCCCAACTGGCAACCTTTTGCTGCGACAGCAGTCAGCTCCTGGGCCTTTAGGTGCATCTTCTAACCAGCCATCAGTTGCTGGTCCACCTGCTCCTCCAGTTACACCAGCTCCTCCTGCTCCACCACTCTCCAGCCCCAGTCTAGCGCAATCAGACACTCCAGGTAAGACCATTTCCAATATACTAGTGTTCAAATGCATTTAATTATGAAACACTTTTCTCCACTACTGAACTTAATTAAATATATAGAAATGTTGGCTAGCTCGGTTTTTATTTTTGTACAGCATTCTCATTAATTGCAATACTCCTATTTATCTCTGGGTTTATTCATTTATGTACTAGTAGTATATAAAATCCACTGTTCATGTTAGTTTCAGAATTCTTTACACTGAGAAAAGAGTGATAGTGTTTTATTCTAATTATTATTAAAATAATTGCATTAAATTTCTGCTCATTTTCTGCAATGCAACAACCCCTACTGTTTATTATTAAATGAAATAATATTGAATTTTTATGGACACACAAATTAGCAACATTTACTGAAAACAAATCATAGAACAATAAAAGACTGCCACATTCACACATATTTACAAATAACAATCATTCATCATTTTTACATGTTCAGTTCAGGCTGTTTCTGTTATTAATTATCTTAATATTTACTCATTCTTGGCCTAGAAAAAGAATTTAGAACGAAAAACTTTTTTTCTTCTTTTCTTTTTCTTTTCTTTTTTTTCTTTCTTTCTAATCTTTACTTCCCTTTCTGAAGTGCATGCTTGGAAGATGTTTGAATCCCAAGAACACTTTAATCTTCAACTTGCTACTTACGTGGCTATCCAGGAAACTCCGCACCCATGGCACAGGTGATATTGTTTCAGTTGCCATTCTGTGACCTTTATCAGGGTGTAGTTATTGCGCAGAGACTGACTGCGCACGCCTTTACGTAGTTTACTCTCCTCCTGTCTGCTAAGTGGTCGGATGATCAGCAAATGCGGAGAGAGGGCAATGGCTAATCAGGGAACGGGCTCTCCCGGCGGGGTGGAAGAAGGTGCTCTGCACGTAAGCGGACGGCGTGGAGCAGCGGGCACCCTGCTGATAAAATAGATGCTTCCAGGTATCGTTGAGACATCGGACTTGATCAGCATTGAGGTTTTGGGGATGTTTAATAATTTCTATTGCCTCTTTAACTCTTCTCGTTCCCCAGCGGTCTTCTCTGGCTAGGAGGCGGGTGTCATCAAGTTAAATGGCGTGACCAATTTTCCATGCATGGAGGGCTATGGCTGATTTATCTGTATTATTGTACTTATAATGGTGAATGTGTTCCCGGAGGCGTTCCTCTATGGTTTGTCCCGTATTGCCAATGTAACTGTGGCCGCAGCTGCATAGGATCTCCTGATGACATGAGAGGAGGTATGCGATCTTTCACAAGTACAAGCTTTTGTCTGAGCTTTTCATGAGCTTTGTAGGCTGTCTTGATGTCGAAGTGGCTCAGAAGCTTACCAATTTTATCAGAGACCCCTTATATACACAGTAGAATGGCCATCCTGTGATTGGAATCATCACTGGGTGTGGTGATGTCAGCAGTGCTAGAGGTGGTCGTTGCCTGACGTACATCTTGGTTGCCAGCGTTGGCACTGTATCGATTAGTTTGGAATGTGGTTTTTAAGAGCTTTATTTCAGAGCCCAATGATTCTTTATCACACACTCTAGAGTTGCTCTGATGGCCAGAGTTTTCAGAACCCCTCGCTTCGTTGCTGGGTGATGGTGAGAACAAGTGAGCAGGTAGCGGTTGACAGGAGTTGGTTTCCGGTAAACACTATGTCCTAGTCTGCGGTTCGCTTTTTGACTCACCAGCATGTCAAGGAAAAGGCAATTTACCGTCATTTTCCACCTCCATGGTAAACTTGATCTTGGAGCATGTGTTGAGGTGCTGGAAGAAGTCAGATAGTGTGAGAACTGTGGGGCCACACTACTAGCGTGTCGTCCTCATGCCGGAGTCATAGTGTAGGTTTTAGCAGGGCATTCTCAAGGGCTTCCATGAATAAGTTCGCCACCACCTGCGAGAGGGGGGGGAGCCCATGACCATCCCTGCAACTTGGCCATAGAGCAGCCTACAGTACTGGAAGAAAATGGTCGTAAGGGAGAACTCGGCTAAGACTGCCCATTCTGTAGTGAAGCCCTCGGGAGCAAAGTTTTTTGCATAAGAAAGTAGTCGCCACGTTCACTGGAACCTTAGTGAACAAAGATGTGGCATCGAAGCTGAAGATATCCTTAAGGCTAAATGCACCTAAAAATACTTGTAGGAAAATTCAATAGATAGCAGCACTATCACAGAGGAATTTACTTCCTGATAATGTCTGAACCAGTGGTCCGATTTTCGATCTGCAAACGGCACTTGACCCCTTTTTGCAATAGAATTTACGCTACGAAGCCCTTTTTCCAAACATCTAGCAAAAACTCGAATTTGAAATTAGTTCTCGGACTTCCGAGAAAAAATTAAAAAATGTGGGCTTATAGCGCGATGGCGACATGCTTCCTGAATCCAACGCCGTGACAAACATGCAAATCGGACGAATACGGCGTCGTAAAGTGAAATTTACGAAAACACCTCGCCCCCCCTCCCCCTTCTCCGCCGTTGCGTCACCCACCCGATTGTTGAGGGCCCTCTATCGGCGCGGGGGCACGACTAGGCCAGGCGGCGTGCGGCCAGCCCCGGCGGAGGACGCGGGACTTGCGGGATACGCAAGCCAGACAGTCG